TGTATGCTGACGTCCGAGCTTACTCTCATCCACTACTTTTTATTCATTTATTCACAAGTTTTGTGAAACAGATCAGTTTCATTTGGTTTAATGATCTTCTGAGGAAGTAACTTAGGGCCTGTTTACATGGAGGTGGGAGGACCCCAGGTAGGTGAGCAGGGAACCCGCTTAGGAGGGGTAACCCGCCTGTCTATATAATCTCTCCTTTTAATTTGATCACGTTTACATGATAGGTGAGGTGACCCGCCACATGTTACCTCACCTATCTGGGGTCCCCACCCTCCATGTAAACAGGCCCTTACTACCGAAACAGGACGCTTTGCTGACGTCATTCATACGTGAATTTTAAACCTCGGAATTCCTCTTTATAAGTGGAATCTGGGGATAAAGGAAATTGCTTCAATCGCAACGGATCGGGAAAATAACAACACAGGAAGTAAGTAAGACACCAAGTAAATAAGCTGAAGCTTTTTTTATTGAAAATTCCTGCCAGTATTTATTTTCTTGAATCTATCACCTGAATTTCCATACAAAACCTTTATCTTCAAGGCCATTTTGAGGATTACGCAATATGATAAGCCAAAGCTCGATTAGGTTCGAAGTTCAGTAATCGAACACAATCAAACCAAAAACTTTGCACAGAGTTCGATTAAATTCGATTAATAAAACGTTCGGTTTGGTTCGAGTGGTTACGCGGGGTATAGCCTACATGCTGCTGAAAATTCTTGTATTCCTCATAAATCTTTAAATATTATTTGCCAGTTATAGCTAGCTTTGAAGAGAACTATTTCACATATTATGCACTGTGAGGAGGTTGATAAAATTCTCCAAAAACGTTTATTGGTAGGACAAGAATATTCCTCAGTCACTTCCAGGCCCAAAAAAGATGACCCCTTATGTCAAAAGTATTCATTAAAACGTAAAAAAAAGGTAAAGGCGCACACGAGCCAAAGGCCCAAAGGGCCGGAACTTATCCTGGTTTCCTTAGCATGAAGCTGGCCTAGGAGTATTGTTACTTCTCCCTGGAGGGATGTTAATCCATTGCAGGGTTACCCCCAGCTCGGACTGGGGGGGCGAATACTCCGGATTTCATCAAAGGATGTAATTTTCGTTTGCGGGATTTTTTGGGTAGGAAAATTTGGCAAGTATTGATTTAAGTAGGGAGTTGTTTAGGTATTCAAAACAATCTGAAGATCTGTGGTAGCCACATATCCCAGCTGCGTAATGTCTTTATTTTTCGTGTTATATCTTTTAATGCTTTCTGGATATTCTTAAGGCTAGGAAATTTGGCATGCGATTTTTATGGGTTTTTTTTTTTCGGCCCGGGGTTTTTTTGGAGGGTTTGATTTTTGCCCACATTCATTCAATCATCCCCGTCACTTGAAATCTGGAGTAACCACGCACCCTCCCTTGGTCCCCCAGCAGTATGTGGCCAGTACCCATTTATACATGTACACCTGGGTGAAGAGAGACAAGTGGAGTAAAGTTCCTTGTTTAAGAAAACAACACTACGGGCCAGGCTTAAACTCCAGACCTCCAGTTCGAGGGGTCAACCACTCGGCCAAACACACCTCCAAAAGTATTCATTACTTATCGTGTATTAAGTTTCTCTCACGCTTAGAAATTCCACTTCGACAAGGAAACAATCATTTGTTGAATTCTACGAAGTGGTATAGCCAGTGACCGCAGACATATTTCTGGTTGTTGCTAAATTCTCTCCACAGCAGAAATACACCTGTGTTCACAGGCTAAAGAAAGTACTAAGGGATAGTTTTCCAAAAAACTTTGGATATCAAAACTGTACCCCAAAAAATAACTTGTAGGAAAATTTTGAACTCCCTTTTGATCCCTTTGCAACAAGAAATGTATCCTCGCCCATCCAAAACCACCAACCGAGGCACAGTGGCCTTAATGGTAATTTAAACAATCATTTCCATAGAATCTAATTCTAGCATACAAGACAAAAAGGATTGCTATATTCTAATAACATCATTAGCTATCCTCTCCTTTTTTTCTTCTTTTGATGTCTTTCCTTCCTTGTTTGTGTGTCTTTCCTTTTCCATTTCATTTGTTTTGAATGCTCACCTGTTTTAGAAAAAACAACAATAATGTTAATAATATTTAATAACAATAATAATAATGATAATAATAATAATAATAATAATAATAATAACAAAGTATTGTATACCTGTCCAACGTATTCTTTTTCTTACACAGACATAACATACATGTAACTTACCAAGACTTACACACTATGCCTTTTTTGTATTTTGTGCTTAAAACCTTAAAGTGAGTAAAAATACTTTTAAACTCAAAGAAATATAAACATGACTTATTTAGCTGCAGGTCGAGGAACAAAAATTATGTAATTTCAGGTTGACCTTGTCCTTTTTATATTCTGAGTGGCTTTCTACGCTTTTTCCAGTGTTGCAACCCAGTTACATGTACTCTATCATTATGCTACTCAAAACAATACTTCTTCCCTTGTGTGTTCTACAATAAAAAGTATAAGCTCAAAATTTTTAACTTACATGTATATGATGTTAGGTTCATTTACCACAGCAGGGTTGCAAGCTGACAGCTTTAGGTCTGTTCCAATCACAATTCAGGAATTTTTTCAATGGCCACTGTTAGCACTGAGAAGATGTTCTCCCTTCCTCTATAAAGGATAAAGGTGATCATGATGACACCTGCAGTTGTGTTGTTGATGAGGCGGTGGCAGTCAATGAGGTGGTGGATGATGAAGCAGTGGTTTGCATGCATGACCTGGCCGTCAATGAGGTAATGGATAATGCGGCAGTGGTAGATACCATGGCCATCAGTAAGGTGGTGGATGCCGTGGCAGTCGATGAAGGGGATGATGATGACGGGGTGGATGATGCCATGGGGGTCGATGGGGTGGTGGATGATGGGGAGGTGGTGGACGAGGCGGTGGATGATGCCATGGAGGTGGATGAGGTGGTGAATTATGCCAAGGTGGTGGATGAGGTGGTGGATGATGCCACGAGGGTCGATGGGGCGGTGGATGATGGGGAGGTGGTGGATGAGGCGGTGGATGATGCCATGGTCGTCTATGATGTGGTGGATGATGTGATGGTTGCCTATGATGAGGTGGTGGTTGATGAGAAGCTACAGTTGGATGTAGACACAGCTGTTGAACTTCATTTTCATGTTCTTCTGCTTGGAATCCAATCTACAGAAAATAAAAGGAAATGTCAGAAGAATGTACCAGGACATTGTAAATTCCCACATGGAACCAACAGACCCATTATCAAACTTAATTGTACTCAGGGATTATCATCATTTTTCCATACAAGTGTATACTGCAAAATACCTACCAAAAAATATATTAAGCAAATGGTACCATGGCTGAGAAGTCAGCGAGTCAGACTCACAATCCAGAGGTCCTGGGTTCTAGTCCCACTCCGGGCTCTGGCGACTTGTTGGATTTGTTCTCAGTTGTCCCGAGTTCAAATCCTTGGCCACACTTGTAATAAGCAAACTGGTTGCCTCTTGCCTGCATGCAGACGTCTCCTATTTCCTTTATTGCACGCAGAAAAGGGACGTCTGTGAAACACCATCGCTAATCGTGTTCCAGCATCCCGCTGGCAGGGTATTCTATTTCGCATAAATTGTGAAATAATATCCAGTTAAAAATAAGAGTTGACAGGCCAAACACAACATCATGAGCTCGTGATAATGCGAAACGTGACCTTGAGAGTCTGCTTGAACAGAGGTTTTTCTTCTTTTCTCTCTCACGCGAAGGTTACTAGCACTACACAGTGCATGTAGCATTCTAACCTTTGACTGAGTAAATGTCGTTTTTGCCGCTCTAAGTCTTACATTTAGAGGTCATGAAGCAGGTTTGTTACCTGCATACTGAGTAATCATTTCCTGTGGTTTATGCTTTTGTGGGTGTTCCTGATAGGATTTGATTTCAGATGCAGTTGTAAACGTGTTTAAATTTTCTTTGACCTTGGTTTGTTACGGCTAAATAAAGATTTTAGTTTCTTTGGCTGGCTTTCTCCGAAATGCCTGCCAAGTGCGAAGTCCACGCCACTTTTGTAGTTTTCTCAGACACTGTTTACAAATATAATGTGATGTGTTATGCACAGTAAATTGTAAAGAAATAATTTCCTTGCACACATTAAATTTTCCGCGGCCTCGAACAAGATTTCAAACGGTCTGCACACAATGGCACATGTTTTGATTTGTTTTGGCTGGAAAACCCCGCAGACCAGATTCGATAACAACCACTCAGCGTTAAGTCAAACAATGCGCACTGTGTGTCAGCCTATCACAACATGTTCCCAAGATCTTGGGAACCCGGCGGGACGCTGGAACACAATTAGCAACAGCATGTGCAGACATCCCTTTTCCGCGTGCAACAAAGGAAATAGGAGACACCTGCACGCAGCCAAGTTGCCTCCTGCCAGTTGGCGTTTTTAATCCTGTTATGTTATATTTGAATTATTTGTTTCTAAGTATTTGAGTAGAGCACCTGTAAACTAGCTGGATAACCTAAGTGCACTTTCCACCATAAAAAAGCCTTTAAACCTTTTTTTTAATACAATGGTGATGCAAGCCTGTTACCCTCTGTTGCCTTAAGCTACAAACATGTAAGTTACAGGTTTTAGCGTGGGAGGAGAGGAGATCCGCTCTGTCTTAAAACTTCCATCTTCGGGAAATTATTTCTTCCTGTCAATGGTACATGTACCTCAGCTCCGATCCTATAACTGCCATTTGTTTTTTTTTCTGATCACTATCTGCCCAGAAAGAGCCATTACTGCCCAAAATGTCAAACTTGAAACTTTACCTGAATGGCAACATGATTATTGCACTAATCTCTTAAAGGGATTATCATTTCATTAAAATAATGGAAATTGTGGTGACTTTGACTTCACTGGAAATACCCAAAGAGAGCCTCAGTTTTAGAAAAAAGTGAGTTGAATTCTAACTTTGGCAGCATGTAACAATAAGTTAACCAAAAGGACGCATAATTATTTTAACTTTACCTTTTTAAGGAGGCCTTGTAGGTATCCCACCTCCTTTTCAAGTCGAGCCTTTTCCAGTTCATATTCAACTGCTGATCCAGTTTCCACGTTAGTCTTTTTTATTAAGTCTTTCACTTCTTTTCCATACTCTGAGGCAGCTTCAGCAAGTGGTAAACACAAGTGACCAAAGTGTTCAAGAGCAACGCATTCCCTACAAACTGCATGACCACATTTCTCATCAAAAAACCGGAATTTATCGTTGTGTTTTTGGCATATCAGGGAAACAGAAGCAAGCTGAGGGTTTGCTTCCAGTTCCTCAAGGGAGACAACTTGATGATCACGACTTGCCTTGTTGCGAGTATGAAACTGAGCTGCAGTTTTGCACATGTTTTCTTTGCAGTCAAGGCAGCAGAAATTTGCAGGGTGCTTCTCACCACAAGCTTCACAATCATGTGAGCCTGTATTACTCCCAACATTTTCTTTGGGTGTGTCATTCACAATGTCCAATAATGCAAAATTCTTTAACAGTCCTTCCACTCCAGTAGGAACAGCACCAGGATTTCTGCATGTGGGACAATCAATAGTGTTACCATGGAGAAGTCTCTCCAGACAGCTTGAGCAGAAGCTGTGTCCACAACTCAGAAGACGAGGACACTTGCTTTGGTCATTGTAATGTTCAAAACAGATTGAACACTCTGGTATCTTCAATGTCATTGCCTAGAGTGAATTTAAATAATCAATAATATGCATAAACGAAAAAAAAAAAGAAAAAAGATCTCGCAAATCCAGCATGTTTCAGTCAACTGTCTTCATTCGGGATCACTGTTCAGTTGCTGGTACTCTTCCCTTCCCAGCATTATTTGGAGTAGCCTTTCTACATATAAGTCAGACAATGTTATGGAAAGGTGAGATAGAGAAAAGAACATTAAGAAGATATATGACGAACAACTATGGACTGAAGCACATGAAGACAATATAAGAAATCTAAGAAAACGGGTACAGCTGCTCACTTGATCTAAAGCTGCATTTATAAACCTACTCATAATTTACATCAGATGTAAAAGTGAGTCAGTCATTTTACAAGCTAAGTAACTATGACAAAGTTAAAGGTATCTTAAAGTGAGCCTCTAAGACAGTTACATTGGACCCCAAAAGGCAGGAAGCAGGGGCACCCAACGAGGATATAGTTCAAAACCACATAAACATAGCATTGTTGAACGTAATTTAGTATTTAAACGATAGATAAAGGCTTATTTTTATCCCCTAAAAAGTTTTCATCTGTTCGGATTTCCTAGCTGAAAGTATAGTGATCCGAAAATTATAGGGATCAAAATTTACCTTTTCGAAAATTTCAGCCAGAAAAACGGCTCCCGAAAATTCTAGGTGACCTTTTTAGGGTAAAAATCTGTTAAAAATGGGCAATTATACCATGTTTTTGATGTTCGAAAATCCTAGGAGAGGCAGGCAAGCAAGAAATTTTACAGAAAATGATCCGAAAATTCTAGATCTCAATCGTCTTCCGGACAGATAATTTTCCGAAAATTATCGTTGGGTGCCCCTGAGGAAGTATGTTCTATTGGGTTATTCCACAAAAAATCCACACCCCCACGACGGAAGGCATGCCGGAAAATCTCACCAAAGGGGGCTTAACGGCTCTGGAAATCCAGATGGAAGGGGGGCTCTGAACCTAAACGTACATCCTCAGGGGTAACTTTCAATTTCATTGATGTTTCAATGGCTTCAATCACTAAGTTTTCAAGAAATTGCTTTGCCTTTTCAAATTTTATTATTCTTTCAAACTACAGACCTCTGACCACATTTATTTTCCATCCATAGGCTTGCCCTTGTTACTTAGTAGAAGCTAGAACAATAACTTGAAGATATCAAGGAAAGTCACATAATTCATAAAAAAGCGCTCAATTCAAGGAAAGCAAACAATGATTTTACCTTGAATTAAACATTTTTCCAAGGTCAATGCTATTTCAGGGTGATTTACCACTAAACACACCTTACAAACATGCGTGGTTGTTCATGATTCATTGTTCGGCAGCCATTTTGAAAAGCAAGTGTCATGGCAAGCGGTATAGCATGTCATGTAATATCCCACTAAGTGTCCAG